TTGGGCATGGTATCATACGCCTGTAGTCCCAGCCACTCGGGAGGCTTAGGCACAGGAATTGCTTAAGCCATGGAGATGGAGGTTGCAGTGAGCCGAGATCATGCCACTGCACTCCAGCCTGGGTGAGAGAGCAAGACTCTGTCTCGGGGAAAAAAAAAAAAATTGCTCACAGTTTTATAAATGAGCAAGTCCAAGATCAAGGCACCATTTTGTTCTCCGGAGCAGCTTTAAGTCCCTAAATGATCCCATCCTATACCATGATCCACACATTCCCAATTCCAAAATGAGTGTCTCCAGTGTGTGCCTCTCCGCTAAGCTCCAGTGTTGCAGACCTATCTTCCTACTAAAGCATCTCCATTTGGAAGTCTATGGGAATCTCACACTTAACACACTCCAAATGGAATTATCTTATCCCCTTTAAATTCTTTCCTTCCCAAGTCTGCCCCATCTCAGTAAATAGCACATTTGCTCAGTCAATAAAACCTGGAGTTCATCTTTGACTCCTCTTCTGCCTCACACAGCCAATGCACACATTGTGTTGGCTCTACTTTTGAAATGCAACGGTAATCCAACTACTCTTGAATACCTGCAGTTACCACTCTAAACTCCAAGGAGATTGTAATAGACTAGGACTCCTACTCAGACCATCTGTAGCCAGCCTCCCCACTCCAGTGATCCTTTCAAAACCCAGACCAGATCACCTTATCCTCTTGCCTGAAACCTTCCTGAGGCTATTATTCTCAGCTTAGACAAAGTCCTCACTGTGGCCTACAAAGCCATATGAGATCTTGTGTCTGCCAGCCTCTTTACTTATGTCATAACTCGCCTTCCCTCATCATTCTGCTCAACCACACTGGCCTCCTCCCTGTCCTCAGTCATGCTGCTGTGGTCTCAATGTGTGTGTCCCCCACTCAAATTAGTGTTGAAGCCTAAATCCGACAGTACTGAGATACGGCCATTGGGGAGACGGTTAGGTTGAGGACTATGCCCCTCTTACGCATGTGAGGATGCAGTGAGAGGAACTACCCTTAAAGCAGAGCTGCTTTCATCAGACAGAATGTGCCGATACGTTGATCTTGGACTTCCCAGCTTTCGGAACTATAAGCAATACACTTCTATTATTTATACATTTTACCCAGTCTAAGGCATTTTATTATAGCCACCCAGGCCAGACACATGCCTAGCACTCACTCTTCACGGCTTTTGCTCTCCTGGAACACTCTTCAGGAAATCACAATGGCAAACTCCCTAACTTTATTGAATTCTCTTCACAAACGTCACCCACCTCCAAGAAGCCTTCCAAGTCTTCCTAGTCTAAAATACTTCTCCCTCTCATCCACTCCTCTTCTCCATAGTATTTAGTGCCACCTGACATGAGTCAATTCTCATTACTCACAGATTCTGTATTTGTGAATTCACCCACTTGTTAAAATTTGTAACCCCCAAAATCAATACGTTCAGTGCTTCCTGTGGTCATTCGTGGACATGCATGCACAGAGCAGAGAAAACTTTGAGTCACCTGACGTGCACATTCCCAGCTGAGGTCAAACAAGTCAATACTGCACCTTCCGCTTTCAGTTCACACTGTAAACAAGTGTATTTGGTGGTGGGAAGGGGGGGGCTAGTGTCTTTTTTGTTGTTGTTGTTATTGTTGCATTTTTTGTGTGTGCTTTTTGTTGATTTCACTGCTTACAACGTCCTCAAGTGCAGTCTAGTGTTCCTCTAAGCACAGAAGGCTATGATGTGCCTTATGGAGAAACTCCTGTATTAGAGAAGCTTCATTCAGGCGGAGTTACAGTGCTGCTGGCCGTGTTAATGTAAAGAATCAACTATAAAGATCAAATAACATGTCTTCAAACAGAAACAAAAAAGGTTATATAGTGATTATTCGACAAAAATGTCATGACCACAGGCTAGCAGGAACCTGTTTCCCCTCGGAACAGTATTTCAGTTTATGCTAATTCCGTGTTCATGACAACGTTATTGACCATAACTATTAAAAATGACGTGAATCAACTGTATGTATCTCCTATTACTACCTAACATTATATGTTTCCTGTTTAGAAGGCAAACTCAAAAGGAGTAAGGATTTCCTTCTATTGTACTGCCTTATCTCAGGCTAATAACAGTGCTTGGTCCTTTTAGCAACAATCTAGAAATATTTGTTGAGAAGATAATTAGCGCAAGTGAAGAATGGGCAATTTTTTTTTAACACGTAGTTTCACTCTTGTTGCCCAAGCTGGAGTGCAATGGTGCAATCTTGACTCATTGAAACCTCCACCTCCCAGGTTCAAGCAATTCTCCTACCTCAGCCTCCTGAGTAGCTGGGATTACAGGAGCCCACCACCACACCTGGCTAATTATATATTCTTAGTAGAGACAGCGTCTCTCTATGTTGGTTAAGTTGGTCTCAAACTCCTGAACTCAAGTGATCTGCCAGCCTTGGCCTCCCAAAGTGCTGGGATTATAGGTGTGAGACACCTCACCCAGCCAGAATGGGCAATTCTTAACCCCCTCTCCAGCTCACCAAAAAAACTCAAGTCGACAATATAGAAAATGTTGAAGCTAACCAGTGATCATGGAGGAGCCAGGGCTGGCTCCCCACTCCTCCCCAAATTACTATGTAGTGTTGGTGAGGGCCCAGGGAAGTCAGCCATGCAATCATCAAAAAACTTGAAATGTGCATATCCTTTGATCAACCAACTCCACTACTGGAAAACAAAACTTGGATCCCTGCAAAAATTTGTCAACAGGGATAAGTGTGCAGCACAATTAACAATGGCAAGACAGTATAAATCACCTCAGAATCTTAAAAGATTAGTGAAACAATGATTATACATAAAAATAGATACAACAGAATCTCAGTGGTTTTGTTTTTTTTTTTTTTGAGATGGTGTCTTGCTCCGTTGCCCAGGCTGGAGTGCAGTGGCCTGATCTCAGCTCACTGCAAGCTCCACCTCCTGGGTTCAAGCAATTCTCCTACCTCAGCCTCCCAAGTAGCTGGGACTACAGGTACCCACCACCATGTCTGGCTAATTATTGTATTTTTAGTAGAGGCAGGGTTTCACCATGTTGGCCAGGCTGGTCTCAAACTCCTGAAGTTGTGATCCCCCTGCCTTGGCCTTTGAAAGTGCTGGGATTACAGGCTTGAGCCACTGCACCCTGCCGGATCTCTCTTTTATTTAAAGTCTATATGCATAAAATAGGAAAATGTTTGTAGTCATTATCACTAAGTATTAAAATGCATGGTCAAAAATCTTTGTTTTTTCTATTTCCCCAGTTTTTCCTTGACAATATGCACTACTTTTGTCAGGGGAAAATAAACAAACGGAAGTTTAGGAGTAAACTTGACAAATTAATTATGAAGTACTGAGTCCCTAGCAGAGAATTTTACAAGGACACTGGCTGCCAGCCTTAAACCTCAGTAAGCAGTGCTGTTAACTCAGATCTCCACAGCAGTGGCGCTGTTTGGGCATCTTTAAATGAAGCCTGAGAAGTGGAACATACATTGATAAGCTCAGCACTCAAGTGCTATGGTAGCCACTCTACTCAATCTCAGCTCTACAACTTACTAGCCGTACAGTCTCCTTATCGGTGTGATGAAAGTGTCTCACTCACAGGAATGCTGAAGTCTATATGAAGTAACATCTATCTCATACATAACAACCAACACATAACAAGCCTTATAAGCAGGGGTTGTTATTCCTCCCACAACAGAACTCTTAGATGGTGTCCCACTTTGGTTACAGAAGTGAATGTCCTGGGAAGAGAGAATTTGTGGTAACATGAAACTTTGTACATCATCACAAAAATAGGTAACTTTCTTCTGCTACCGATTTATTTACAGATTTATTGATCACTTAACTTTACTAAAGTTCAAGTAATACGGTTTCCTGCCATCCTCTGTATGGAGATATATAAAGGAGGTAAGTGATACAGGGAAAGTTTACATGCCATAGGACTCTACTGGTGTAACAAACAGGTGTAGACCCTTAATATAAGGCCACACACAATAAGGAAAACTATCATACATTCATATACCATATACCACTTAAATTTGTATAAACTCTTGAACTAATAATGATGGTGGCAGGTGATCCAGTCAATCTGCTATCATCTTGGCTGCAGACTCAGGCATCCCAGCACTTTCGGGGGCCTGCCCCCACTTCCTGGCTTCTCCCTGCTGTCGGCACAGGTTTTCGGATCAAAGCAAACCTAGAAGCCATGAACAGGGAGGGCCTGAAGGCTGGGGGCCAGGCTACCAGTCCTACCTATAGGAGTGGGAACTGGTGTCTTTTCCAAGCCCGTCTGTGGCCACCCATGGTGGCCAATCAGTATGCACTTCCTCCCCTCTGAGGCCCATAAAAAGCCCCAGTCTCAGCCAGAGCTGAACAGAGGAAGGGATGACCAGCAGAAGGGAGAAGTTACCCTCTCCGCTAAGAGCTTCAGAGAGCTACAGACATGGCAGAACAACCTGCCTGTGGAGAGAAGCTATCCTCTCCACGTCCTCCTCTTTCCTGAGAGCAGCAGACCTCTGGACAACCTGCCTGCAAAGAGAAGCTACCTTCTCCAGGGCCTCCTCTTTGCTGAGAGCTGAGAGGAGTTACCCTCTCCAGGGCTTTTTCTCTGCTGAGAGCAGAACACTTGAGGGACAACCTGCCAGCTGACAGAGGGGAGCTACCCACTGCGGGTCTCCTTCTGAGCTGTTCTAACACTAAATAAAGCTCTGCTTCATCTTGTCCACCCTTCATTTGTCTGCATACCTGGATGTAGGACAAGAACTTGGGCACCACGGGCAAAGAAAGGCACCACCAGCAACAGGCTTCTGGGGGAAGAAAACCACCCACCCCAAAGATCACCCAGAACACTAACATAACCAAAATTTCAAATCTAAAAATTTAATGCACTCAATTGTACAAACTGCCAAAAACTAGACACCACTTTTCATCTTTAACATTGTGAAATCCTCAGACTCTTACAAGAACAAAATAAAACCAAACAACACATTCAATGATTTTAATTTGTGTGACAGACTACATGCTTCATGGCAGAACCAAAGGTAAAACCTTCCATTTTGTTCATGGTTATTACACAAGTAATTACACAAGTCCAGTGTATAAACACTACCTGAACACATAGTAGGTTCTTCTAATAATAAATATTATATGAAAAAAGTTAACAAGCATTTATTCAATACTCAAACAGATATTCATCAAAATGAGGTAGATCTAGTGGGTCACTTGCTAGAGCATTTAATGATGAGGGTGGAAAAAACTCATCGAAAATACCATTCTTCATGGGACTCTCCAAGTTGAATGTTTTAACGCTGGCATTATTTGTCAGAGAATCTGGCTGAACTTCACATGGATTTTTCTTGGTGGGGCTACAATAATTATGGTCCTGTCTCAGATGTGTGCTCTGGGAAACATCATTTAATTCACTTGGTACTGGTGATGGGATACTGCTATCTCCCATTCCCAAATACCTAAAGTCACCTTCCCCATTTTCGGACAGCTCTGCTGAAACAGCAGTTGCAGGAGACAACAATTCTGCTAAAATTTCTTCGTGAGTTTGACTACCATACAGGGAAACACCAGGAACAGTGGTGCATGCAGACTCATTGGCAATATCAATTTCATATGGTAGCTCATTTAACAAGTCCTCTATTGATTCACAATCATTTGGAGACCCACCCTGGGGCACCTGTTCTAGATTTTCACTTGGATCTGTTCCACTTTGTGGGGAAGACATTAGAGCAGCTAATTTCTTCTTTTGTGCCTTCAGTTTTTTGCGAAGTTTTAGACGGAGTTTATGAATCTGACCTTCCACCAAGTCTTCATGGTTTGATGAAGAAATACCATTTCCATGAGAACTGTGGCTGAGTTGAGCGCTATATGAGGTGCTTCCAGACTTTTCCAAAACTTCTGGAGCAGCATGAGCATGCAAGGGGGCAGCTGTGCCATTAGATGATGGAGGAACTGGTGGTGGCTTACTGATGGGAGGAGGCTTAGTCGCACTCCTACGAGCTTTCTTGGATACATGGCTGGCCTTCTGATTTATACCTTTAGTTTTAAAGCCACCAAAATTATTTACCCCTTTAACTGAAGGTTGTAAATCAATTATCGTGTTTCTATTATGAGCTGAAACACAGAGTGGCATAAAAGAAGCACCTCTGCTTATTAAGCCTTTAACCCAACTGCCGACAAATGGCTTCTTCTGATTTTCTTTCAGAGACTGATTCTGTAGTGACCTAGATGTGGTTAGAGAATCTGCTGTAGTTTCTTTTCTCTTCAAATTAGATACCTGAGATGTGACATGTTCTGGTTTTAATTGCTCAGTTTTTGGTGTAAGGAATTGTTTTAACTGAGCATCCCTCTCAGTTTCTACTGCCTTCACTCCCTGTATAAGACCAGTAGCATGAGTGTTATTCGCAAATTTAGTATTTACAGCACCTTCTGTATTCAGCTGTACTGGCTGCATGTTGGTGTTTACAACTTGAGATGGAAAACTTATGCTCACAAATTGGTCCTGGATCAGCTTTTCTTTCAATGGAGCTGATACTGAAGAAGCCATTAGTGATTCTTGTGATTGCAAAGTACTTTTTTTGAGAATTCCTGTATTTTCAGCTACAAGTTTATTTTCTAACAGGAAAGCTTCAGAATTTAACCGTGAAACTGAGGCTGTTTTCTGGGTAGTTTCTTCAAGTATCAAAGGTAAAATATTGTCAACCAAACCTTTTGAACCTGAAAGGAAGTGATCTCCATGAGTTACAGCTGAGTCCTGTGAAAGAGTATGATGGGCAACTGATGTAACTTTAGGGTGAGTTACTGAGGCTGTTTCAGCTGAGGCCGCATCACCCACAGAACAGGACATTGAAGATACTGATTTCTCATTACCGACAGCGTGCTGGTCATTAGTCTTTCTAAGTGGAAGGCAGGCGGCTTCTTTATCTGTCACTTGGGATGTTTTTCTTTCCCAAATAACAATATGTATCTCTGAAGCAGGCACTTCAAATTTCTTGTGCCTTTCAGAACATGGGCCTTTTAAATCATCACATTCCAGCCAACTTCCTGGAGGAGGGAAAAGAAGTGAAAGATAGATATGAAAAAATCACCACCCTAGGTTAACTTTCTTCTTGCCTTTTCAACTGTTCTATCATTGAATACCCACCAAAGGAGAAGACTCTAAAACATGGTCTTGGCTGGACACGGTGGCTCACGCCTGTAATCCTAGCACTTGGGAGGCCGAGGTGGGTGGATCACCTGAGTTCAGGAGTTCAAGACCAGCCTGGCCATCATGGTGAAACCCCATCTTTAAAATAAATAAATAAACAGATAAATAAAATAAAACAACAACAACATGGTCTTGACCTTGTCACCATCATCTGCCATGTTAAAGTCCTTAGACAGAGTATATTTAACTTTTGGAATTTAGAATTTGGTTATCACCTAATTTATCCAATAACATCAGAAAACAGAATGTTTTATATATATAAATTTTCATGATAAACGAAGCTTGTTACCTGAAGGATCAATATTCATTTGAATTCTTGTTTTATTTCTGACCTTGCATTTTCACATTTGTCAAGAGACAATGAGATGATAGATGACAAGAGTTGAAAAATGAGGATGCACTGCCAAATACTGAAATATTAACACACAACTTGGGAAAAGTCCGTTACTTATAGCAGTGTGGTTGCTGGCAGTTACTTTTGCCTTCACAATTTCAGTGGTGCAGTAGTGACAGGGGCCCTTATGTAGTCAGCTACAGCATGAATGAAGAATAAGAAGGTAACCTGTTTAAACCATTCCTTAAATAAAAAAAGACACCCATTAGGATAGATATTATTTAAAAAATAGAAAATAGCAAATGTTGGCAAAAATGTGGAGAAACTGGAATCCTTGTGTAATGCTGGTGGGAATGTAAAATGGTACAACTGCTGTGTAAACAGTCTGGCAGTTCGTCCAAAAGTTAACACAGAATTACCATTGAGACCCAGCAATTCCACTTGTAGGTATACACCAAAAAGAATGAAAAGCAGGGACTTTCAGTTCCTTGTCCACCAATGTTCAGAGCAGCATTATTCACAATAGCCAAATGTCCATCACAGATAAATGGATAACACATACACTACTACTCAGCCTTAGAAAGGAATGACATTCTGCAATGTGCCACAACACAAATGAATCTTGAAAATGTGCTGAGTGAAATAAGCCAGACACAAAAGGACAAATAATGTATGATTTCACTTCTATAAGGTATCTATAATAGACAGATTCACAGAGACAGAAAGGAGAATAGTGGTTACCAGGGGTTTGGGATGGGAGGATGCGGAGGTATTTTTCAATGAGTAGAGTTTCTGTTTGGCTTGATGAAAAAGTTCTGGTGCTGACGGTGGTTGCATAGCATTGTAAATGTATTCAATGCCAATGAATTGTACACTTACAAATGTTACAGTGGTAAATCTTAAGTTATATATGTTTTACCACTACAACAAAAAAATATAAAAAGTACAGCTGAGAAGTAAAGAAAGGTGGCTAGGTGCTAATAGGCGGTGTGAGGTTAAGGGAAGGTATCTTTCTTTCTTTTTTTTTTTTCTGAGACAGAGTTTCACTCTGTCACCCAGGCTGGAGTGCAGTGCTGCAATCATGGCTCACTGCAACCTCCGCCTCCTAGGCTGGAGCAATCTCCTGTCTCAGCCTCCCGAGTAGCTGGGATTATAGGTGTGTGCCATCACACCCAGCTGATTTTTGTATTTTTAGTAGAGATGGGGTTTCACCATGTTGGCTAGGCTGGTCTTGAACTCCTGAACTCAGGTGATCCACCCACCTCGGCCTCCCAGAGTGCTGGGATTACAGGCATCAGCCATCGTGCCTAGCCAAGAGAAGGTATATTTCTCTACATTTTACTTACTACTACATGATAATTTGAAAAAAGCTAACCACAGGCTTAGATAACAACCTTTCTTAATAAATAATCAACAAATATCTGTACTTTCATTAGAGACTTAGCAAAACAATCCACATTTCACTATATAATCAATATCTACACACATCTATGAAACAGAAAATCAATACAAAAAGCATAATGTCATGGTAATTGTGGCACAGCAAATACGTAGCTTACTCTATTTCTTTTTTTGTCTTTTTTTTTTTCCTTTTTGTGGAGAACGGGGTCTCGCTATATTGCCCAGGCAGGTCTCGAACTCCTGGGCTCAAGCTATCCTCCCACCCCTGCCTCCCGAAACCAAATGTAATAAATTAATATATCATGATGTCAAACACCATCATACTTACTACAAAACATTTCCTATTCCTTGGATTATAATAGATCATGATGTCAAACACCATCATACTTACTACAAAACATTTCCTATTCCTTGGATTATAATAGTGAGCACCCAAAGCACTGTCTTTTTCCTAAGGAGTATATTATTTCAGAAAACATTGTTTTAGCAGTAGAGAAGTGACCAACATAGTGGTTGTCATTTTATGTTGCAAAACATGTTCACAGATACTTAATCTTAAATATTTACAGTGTGCTCAGTTTCTTTTCCTTGTCCATATGCATCTATTCGTTTTTGAAGAAAGATTTCTAAGAGCACACATAGAGAAAACTCATTTGATTTCCAGGTGTTGTGGCTCATGCCCGTAATCCAACACTTTAGGAGGCCAAGTAGGCAGATCACGAGGTCAGGAGGTCGAGACTATCCTGATCAACATGGTGGAACCCTGTCTCTACTAAAGATACAAAAATGAGGTGGGCGTGGTGGCACATGCCAGCAATCCCAGCTCCATGGGAGGCTGAATCAGAAAAATCACTTGATCCAGGGAGTCAGAGGTCGTGGTGAGCTGAGATTGCTCCACTGCACTCTAGCCTGGCAACACAGTGAGACTCTGTCTCAAAAAAAAGAAAACTCATTTGACACATCTACCATAGTCACTTTTTCATGCTGAGAAAGACCATATCTTAAGATTATAAGAGAAAATAAGTACTTGCCACCAGGCTTCAAAGGCTTCCTATAAAGAACTAATCTTGAGGCCGGGCACAGTGGCTCACGCCTGTAATCCCGATACTTTGGGAGGCTGAGGCGGGCGGATCATAAGGTTGGGAGTTTCAGAACAACCTGACCAACATGGTAAAACCCTGTCTCTACTAAAACTACAAAAATTAGCCTGGTGTGGTGGCACATGCCTGTAATTCCAGCTACTTGGGAGGCTGAGGCAGGACAATCCCCTGAATCTGGGAGGCAGAGGTTGCAGTGAGCTGAGATTGTGCCATTGCACTCCAGCCTGGGCAACGGAGCGAGACTCTGTCTAAAAAAAAAAAAAGAACTAATTTTGAGGAATGCAAAGATTAAGAAAGGAAAAACAGATCTTTCCTTACACATTCCCCAAAGGGAAAAAGCTAAAGACCAAATTAAAATATTTAATAAAATATAAGATCTGATACAAAAAAAAGTAAACCAAGAACATAAGTCACATAACAGACATAAATTCTGGTTAAGTTTCAAAAGGGAAAACAAAATATGCTCAGAGATCTGCTAAATCCCCACATACACACAAAACAAAACTGTTCATTAAGCATGTGGTTAATGTGGCTACACCCTTACCTACTACCTGAACCTGCTATTTCCCATTAAATAGAAAACTTTATGTATCTTTTGTTTGCCTGTGTCAGTGGTTCTCTACCACATGACCCACTCTGGAATCATCTGGGAAGCTTTTAAAACAATGTTAAAATAGTATTGCCATAGCATGTGCCTTAGTCTCAGCTACTCAGGAGGCTGAGGCAGGAGAATCATTTGAGCCCAGGAGTCTCACAACAGCCTGGGCAACATAGTGAGACCTTGTCTCAAAAAGAAAGATGAAAGAAGGAGAGAAGGAAAGAAAGAGAGAGAGAGAAAGTGAGAAAAAGTAAAGGAGGAAGGGAGGGAGGGAGGGAGGGAGGGAGGGAGGAGGGAGGAGGGAGGCAGGCTAGCAGGCAGGCAGGCAGGAAGGAAGGAAGGCCGGTCAAAAACCAATACCAAAAACACCCAATATTGACATTTGGGCCTAATCACCAAGGGTGGTCTAGGGTACAACTTGGAAATGTTTAGAAGCTAACCAAATGATTCTTATATGCTGTCAGGGTTAGGAACCATGCTGAACTTGAAGTGTATTGATCAATCTTTGAAATGCAAAAAAAAGTTAAAATAAGTTGGTTCATATTGTGAAGAACTACTTCCTCTCAAATCTGAAAGAGGGTAAAACCTTAAGGTAATAATTACATTTATAATATAAGTTAGAGTTTGTAAAATGCTTTTATAATACAGTATTGTGTCATCCATTCAAACCATCCCCAGGAGGAAAATAGCAAGTGTGAAGGAGTGTCTCACTTGCTATATGGTTATATCAAAGTGAGCCCTTATCAATGGCCTGATACAACCCTTTAAGGACATTGAGTTATCTTGTCTAAGACAAAGTGCACATTATGAGAAAAACAAATTCAGTATTACACTACATCAGACAAACAGAAGGCAAAAATTCCCCAAATCCATGAACTGTGCTTACTTAGCTTTCTATTAAGAAGTTCAATTACTTAAATAAAGACTTTATCTTGATAGTAGCTGTTAGCAATCTATGTATTTCACAATTACAGAAGGGCTATATAAGTCTAATGTGTAATAACAGTCTTAGAAAACTATGTCTAAAAAATAAAAGCAAAGATGTTAAGTAGGAAGAAAACTGTAAGCAAATAGTAGTATGCAATCTCATTCTTTGTCTAAAAAAGAAATACACCCATGCACCTGTGTTTACCCAAAATACATGATGTAAGGAAAGAAAGAAATTAGGAAGGATACTAAAACCACCATTTTTAATAGGTGCAAGGAGCAGAAGGCCAAGGTGAGAATGGAGAGAGAAACAGCCAGGGCAAAGTTTGTCTTTTTTTAAAAAAAAAAACAGAAAGTCCCCCCCCACACACACACGAGTTTCGTTTTCATGCCAACTGTCTTAAAAGGAAACCTCTAAACACTTACCATCATCTTCTAAAATCCATGTTATAAAATGATTATTTGCTTGATACTGAATTACAGAAGTTATTTGGTAAAGACAGCCTTCAAAGTGAAATGCATAGTGCTGCAAGTCCTTCTGTGGTAAGCCTTCTACAAAGTGCAACATGAATATGGGAGATACTCTGTGGGAGAGAAAGGCAAAAGACGTTAAACAAATGTAATGCCGTGTGTCTGGTTATACAAAAGATGACTGAGGTGAACTAGTCATACATGGCACTTTCAAGGCTAACCGCACGGACTGCTCTAGAGCACCTCCAGATGTGTGCCTTCATCAGAAATGGAGAACTGTGAGAAGCATGTGGCGCTAAACCCTTTTCCGAATGGCATCCAGACAGTTGGAAGTCATCATGCAGTCAGACTCTAACAGACCATTAAACAAAAACTGCTCTGTAAGCTGCTTTGGCTTAAAGATCTCATGGCAGCTACTTTGTAAAACCTAAGGAAAAAAATCCAGACCTTTTAGAATTTTCTTTGGCATCAAGTGCTCGGATTAATTGCTTTTGCTGAGTGGGGTAGGTAATATGTGAAAGAAAGCAACAAACCTAAGATATTCAAAATAAGCATTAATTTGGCCTGTTTCAGTCATTTCAGGAAGCAGAGGGGTCTGTCAAATTAAAAGTTCTACTTAGGAAAAGTCCAACTTGTAACTAAGTAGAGACAAAATACAATACATTGGTCAATTTATTATCAACTTCAAGACAACTGTAATTTCAAAAATATATTTTACCATTACAGCAACATGCTGAACCAGAAAATAGAGCCCAATGGGTCTAAAATAACTAAATTTAACAAAGCTCTCAGGATGTAAGAAAAATGTTGACTACCCCTTTTCCCAATATTTAAACAGCTGTCAAAACTTACTTTATCAAAATTGATTCAGCCCAAATGAACTTGAATCCATGTCCAAATTGCAGATTACTCAGACGGACAAGGGATAATTTATAAGTTAATCTTTGTCAGTCATTTTGTTAGACAATAATCAAGTCCTGCAAACTTTCTACATCACTAAACTCTTTCCCACTTTAAAAATCACACCTACTTCATCAAACCTAAGATTTCAGATGATAACATATGCCAGTATGAAAACATGCTGCCAATGAAACTCGATCATGCCATCAATTTCAGGTATTTCCATTTCAGACAGGTTAAAATGTGAACTGTATGTCTGAATCAATGATCCACAGTAAAACTTGAGATGTATTCTCACAGTGGGGTATGTAGGCTTTAGGCACCTGACTTTTTTTTTTTTTTGAGATGGACTCTTAGCTCTGTTGCCCAGGTTTGAGTGCAGTGGCGCCATCTCAGCTTACTGCAATCTCCACTTCCTGGGTTCAAGGCTCCGGAGTAGCTGGACTACAGGTGCATGCCACCATGCCCGGCTAATTTTTGTATTTTTAGTAGAGACAGGGTTTCACCATGTGAGCTAGGTTGGTCTCAAACTCCTGATCTCAAGTGATCTACCTGCCTTGGCCTCCCAAAGTGCTGGAATTACAGGCATGAGCCACCAATACCCAGCCTGACTCTTTAATTACTAACATTTAGTTCCTTGACTTTATATAATACCTTTCAATATACCTTCTAAGGCTAGTTACTAAAAAACCTCTTGATCTCTAGACTATGAAATCTCACTAGTTTCCTGCTTTTACATGAGCTTACACATGGAAAATGTTTTAAGACATATTAACGTGATAAATAACGCATGTAAAACCACCTGACATACTTTTATGATTTTCGTACATTACAAATCTTCTATTCTTTTGCAAATTAATAAAAGTAAAAACTGCCAAAACCAAAATCCACACTCAGCCCAATTCCCTGGATGTAGAAGATACTCAGATGCCAGCTGAGTACAAGCACATTCCCCTAGGTAGTAAGAAATGACTTGTCAGAAACCTCCAAAGTCTGCTATGAGATTCAATAGAAATTTGATTTTCTCAACCATCAAAAAAAGAGACAACAATTGGAGCAATTATACGTTAAGTTTTAAAATATTCTCTTAATTACACTGGCCTATCAGATCAACCAGTACACCAAAGCTGTCCAGGACCTGATGTGGCGTGAAATGATGTAGAACAGAGCCATAATGTAGAGTTTTACAATCATGTCAAAAATCTCAATGTGTCCTCCATACTCCTTTCTATAACTATGAAACTTTTTAAGTCCCAAATGCCCAATGAATTCCAGTTTTTTTCCTATACGTTAACATCTCTCATCTCTGAAGTTGGGATACATATTATCATTGATGGCACACAGTTAAATAGGCAGCATTTCTTTTTTGCTTTTCTTTTCTTTTTTTGAGACAATCTCGCTCTGTTGCCCAGGCTGAAGTGCAGTGGAACAATCTTGGCTCACTGCAACCTTTCCCTCCCCGATTCAAGCAATACTCCTATGTATCAGCCTCCTGGGTAGCTGGGACTACAGGCATGTGCCACCATACCAGGCTAATTTTTGTATTTTAGTAGAGATGGAGTTTCGCCATGTTGACCAGAATGATCTCAAACTCCTAGCCTCAGGTAATTTGCCCACCTCGGCCTCTGAAAGTGCTGGGACTACAGGCATGAACCACCATGCCCGGCCAGCATTTCTTTCTTAATGGCATATTTTTTAAATGGTGCAACTTACAAATAGTAGCATCTTGGAGTCAATCAAATAATATGCTTCCCCTTCCTTTTTCTGTTCCTCTTTGATTCCCCTAGACTCTAGTGTCCTACGTACAATTCCAGTGTGTCTCAATTCCAGCCTCTCGGTTGAGGGTAGAACTTTAACCCTAGGTTTTGTTCTCAGACTTCTTCCTACCCACAATGCCTGAAGTGTCAGTGAAGGATGATGCTCAGAGCTAAGGAGACCAAGTTAGGTTCTCCCTCAACCACTGGAAAACTGGATGAAAGGAATTAAGCAAATTGGAACCAAGAGTGAACAGGAGATTTCAAGCTAAGACCTATTTGCATTCATGTAACATGGGGTTAATATCCTCTTATTTAAAAATCTACCCTTAGGAAAAGAGTAGAAAAGAGAGAAAGAAAGCACAAGGAAACTGTGTTAACCTCTGCTACCCAAAGAGAGCAGAGAAACATTGTGTCCCTGTCCCACAAGGCATACTTAGCCTTGCACTCAAAGAGATTGTGGCAGTAACCTTTCAAGAGTTTGTGAAGTAAAATGAAATCTGATTCTAAGTTCTTGGTGCTCCATGTCACCGTGCTCTGAATGTAACTCCTAAACAACTTATTTAAATAAAAGTAGCAGATTTGGGCTGGGCACAGTGCCTCATGCCTGTAATCCCAGACCTTTGGGAGGCCAATGAGGGCAGATCATGAGGTCAAGAGATCAAGACCATCCTGGCCAACACGGTGAAACCCTGTCTCTACTCAAAATACAAAAATTAGCGGGGCATGGTGGCACGTGCTACTCAGGAGGCTGAGGCAGGAGAATCGTTTGAACCTGGCTGGTGGAGTTTGCAGTGAGCTGAGATTGCACCACTTGCACTCCAGCCTGGCAAGAGAGCAAGACTCTGTCTTAAAAAAAAAAAAAAAAAGTAAAGTAGCAGATTTGGGTCCACTAGGCATAATTCATCTGAATTTATCTATGAACTCTTTTCCAATGGGGAGATATAAGAGATGTGGGTTGAGACAAGGTTTCCAAGGAACTTAATGAGTTTTTAGAATGCTGTATGGTCTTAATTACATATGATACATGATGAACCCAATTACTTTTAGGATATCCCTAAAAACTATATTAAATTTATTTCTAAATTCCATAGACACAAACAAATCAAGTTATACAAATTTCAAAATAATAAAAACACAAAGGACTTAGACCTTGTTATTTAAAATTTAAGTGAAATTTCATACACTTAGTTCAATTTACTTTTGAAGAATACAGGAAATATCCATATTATAAATTCTGCTCATAAATTAGCCCACTGGAACTCAAAACACATTTTCCATTAAAAGGCTGTTTTACCTAATGGACCCATTTCCAAATCAGCACATGAATCTTTAAGGTAAGCAACTTATTCATACAGTTAAAAAATATATATACTACAGTGCAACCAATTAACAGTTTAAACAAAACAATGGTACGACTCTATGTTCACTGCTGGGGCATGGGAAAAAGCAGGTATGAACAGCTAGATGAAATCATATACACCAAGCAGCCTAAAGCAGGTCCATGGTCCAGAGCAGGATGGCCAACTCCATGCTCTGCTGCTCTTTTCCTCACCTCATCATCAACACTTACATCTCAAAACTGACACATGGCAGCCAAGATAGATTACACACTTCCGTAATCTTCAGACAGATCAGACACCTCTTCTTCCTTCCCACTTTGCCCTCCTACACAAATGCTATCAAATAATAGTAAAGGGCAAAAAAGATGCGAGTCCAAAAGGACAAAGAAAGGGAAATAAGCAAACAAGGAGTCAATTAATATTTAGAGGACAGAAAGCAAACAGAGAGGTGGCACCTTACCCAACAGAATGGACAAAGTGAAGACTAAGTGCTGTGGAATGCATGTGCTGATGAGAAAGAAGAGCTTATTTCTCCCAGAGAACCCTTCAAAGTGTGGATATTTACAGCCACAGATGTGGCAGAATGTGGGGATGAGGCCTTGGGCTAAAAACTAGGATGGTGACTCAAAGTGTGTACATAAAAAAGCACACCCTATGCTCTAGGCCCAGAGAGGACCCAGCACAGGCTGCAGCAAAGAGTGCAAAGTGCCAGGAAAGTGTTCCCAGGAAAAAAGGGGCGGGGAATGAGTAAAAAACTGTGAAGCATCTGAGTATTATAAATGTTATTAGTTAAGTGTTTAAAATATTTGGCAAAAACTCACAGTACATAGTAAAACAAATGAAAACAAGACAAATAATTCCAGGAAAAATAAAGAACTGTAAAAGTGAAACCTAACTATGTATAGTACTTGGCTGAAGAGGGACTAACATACGTATGTTAATAACAATGCAAATACCGAGTACTGATTTAGCCAAATATGCAGTTGCATTGGAAGAACAGGGAAAGGCTAAACCGAGATGAGGCCCAGATGCTGGTGTGAGAACCCGAGTCTCAACTGCTATAAAAGAACAGACTGTATTACAGTAAAATAAGCACATCAATTTGAAATGTCAAAATAAATACTATCTTAATTTGAAGATTTAAAGTAGATACATGGAGAAGAGGACAGGGGACTACTGCCCTTTGTTCCTTTAAGCTTGTGATTACTGATGAACTGAGAATTTATTACTTCAATAGAATAAATCTTTAGGAAAGATTCTGAGGGGTTTTTGGCACATTCAAGGGCATAAAGGTTAATGTTCCTGGTTCTTTATTACATCAAATTAGACCTCAAAACATTTCCTTAATGTACAATTAGACTGACAATGAAGAGTAAAGAGGATGGGTACACGTGTGAGTGCATTAACGAGAGAGAGAGACAAACTGCCTGAGATGGAAGTGACCTGTGAGTTGAGAGAGATGGGCTCTGGTAACACTGGAAAAGGTGATGCTGACCAACCTCCCACTGAGGACAAACAGAAAAGCTGGCAAAATAGAATGAAAACACATCTGCTCAAGGGCACCAGATAGCTTACAAGATGACGAGGAATTAGCATGCTTAGAAGAAGATGGAAATTCAGACAGATGAGCCTGTGGCTCATCTTTGAATCATCTTAGTTCTTAAAATCTGATTAAGGAAACCCCAGAATTCTAGAAACTCCATGCACTTGGCAGAGGAGAGAAAAACTGAAGCCTGATACCTTTAAAGAAGAAAAAAGGCAAAAAGGAGGAAAGACACCAGAAGAGTGGGGCCAGGGAGTCAGCCTAAGTTGGCTCTTTAGTGGCTTCACCAGTGCCAGATAGATCGAGGTTGTTGGCAACTCAGAAATATATGTTAACTCAAATTTCAGAAAGGTAGGTTGTTGTCACCATTCTCAATTCTACACATTAAGAAAAATGTAAGTCCACCTTCATTTGATACTAAAAATTATAAGACAATTTTAACTCACTTTTCCAATATCATTTTTCTTATTTGTGATTTACTGTTGCAATTGTTACATGGACCAAAATGGGCAGCATTAAGTGGGTGCCACTCAGGGATGACATTTGTAAAGGTGACCAGACTCTTCATACACCTATTAAAAAATGACATAATAAATTCATTAATGTTAAATGCATTTACATTAATTTAAATCAATGTCTGAAAGTATTCTTCCCCTTTTTGGTGATTCATACTTTATTTCCCCAAATCATTAATACGGCAATATTCTCCCCTACCCCTAGTAAAGAAGCTCTGTGAAGATGTTCCATGTTAATTACCCATAGCTTTCAACTATGACATGAAGCAAGAAAAAAAAGACAGGGTTCCTCAACAATACCACTGATACTTTTCACCAAAGAGCCTCTGCTGTGAAGCACTGTCCTGTGCACTGTGGGATGTTAAGCAACACTCCTGGCCTCTACTCACCAGACGCCATAACAGCATCCAGTTGCCTCCAGACATTGCCAAATGTCCTGAGGGGGACAAAATAGCCCCTAGTAAGAACCACCATTCTAAGGTTGTCAAATTTATTAAAAGCTCACCCCTTACTCAAATACACTGGCTAGCCAGTTACAGACAGCGAAAAATGAAAAAGGGTGTTTGCAAATACAATCAGGAATACATACAACTTAATTTTTTTTAATCCTTAAAAATATATGGCATTAACTGTGAACAAATTTTGTTTTCGCAGGTTACACAAGTTCTAAATTTGCACTTTCATCTGAATACTTGAGAGCAGCAGCCATCTAAAAGGATGATCTTTAAAGGTGTACACTAAACCTCAACTGTATCCACTTTAATAAAAATGTTTTTAATTAAAAGAGCAGTTACCTGGTCATTAGAGAGATGCAAATCAAAACCACATTGAGGAAAAAAAAAAAAAAGAGCAGTTACATATTACTTAAGAGACACAAGCTTCTCTTCTAAACAACTGCAAACACTGACAAATCCCGTGAGAAAGCACCGTCTGTGAAAAACAGATCACTACTCTGGAAGTTAACATTTTAAAAGCAAAGCAACATAAAGGTCTCAACAAATGCACTGCTTGTATTTCCCCTAAATTCTTAAATTTTCAAAGATAACTGTTAAGTAAAGGCTCCTATTTTTTAGTTTATAAGAAGGAGACTGTCTCAGCAAGGAAGTGTTAATTCTCCATGTGCCATCTGATGTTTCTGAGCATCTACTATGTGCAAGGAGAGCACGGCACTGGATACTCATCTTCCAACAACTCTCAGAGGCAGGTGCTCTTCTCATCCCATTTTACAGATGGGGAAAGTGACACATAGAGTGCAGTGATAAATAACAGAACTGAGATCTGCCTCTGAATACTGTTTTTAACTGCCTCCAGGTTACACTTTCCAAGTTGGGTAAAAAGACCCTGTACTGGCACTAAAAACAGCTTCATAAAAACAGATGAATTTGCTGGACAGTTCTCCTTCAGATTAAGTGGAAATAAGTTTTAAGTCATGACATATTAAAACACTCCATTTTAGCTTTCCCCCTATAACTACTTTCATTTTTAGGACAAAGGAAGGTTGTTTTTAAGAACAAAGAAGTATACAAAAGCAGCTAGTGGCTTCTTTCTCTTGAGCTCTCATAGTTTGTGCTATACATCTCCAAAACACATTTATCATCTTGCATTCAAAGCTAACATAAAGCAGCCAAAAGATAAGATTAATTACAAAGTCACTGGCCCTCTGTTATGTGTTCATGTATTACCTCGCTACCTAAACAGTGAATTTGGCAAGGATAGAGACTATTTCCTGTGCCTGAGTTCCTGACGCACAGAACATACTCAACTAAAAACTGTCAAACAACTAAGATATGGATTCTAGAAAAGTTACAATTAAGCTGATTTTAATCAACAAGCTTATTTATGTTATTTCAAACCCAGGTAGTGATTAAGGAGTATACCACAGTGAGCAAAGTCTTAGAAGCCAGAAAAGCCTAAGTGTGTCTCCTGACTCTGCCACTGACAGTGTATCATCTTGGGAATCAATCTGACCCCCTTCAAGCCGTCATATTCCTAAGTGCCAAATGAGGACACTAGGATCTTCCTCATTGAGTTACTGTGAGAAATAAAACCAAATAATTTATATAAATCAATGATAGAAGACTTGGAAACGGATGTGTTCTCATATTCACTTGTTTACACTAAATTATTTAGGTCCTAGGTATGAATAAAATGTTAATTCTCACCCAGTTCTAGTGAGGTTTTGGCGAGTGTTACAAAAGTTTACTTAACAAAAAGTTTCATATGAAAATGTATCTGACCCAATTTTATCAGAGTAAAGCAGGCCCTTTGGAGAGGGGACGTGGATTTCTCCTCGGAGCAGTCATTATGTATCTTTGTTTCATGGCTTCTAACACGATGAAACTATTTCCCTGTAACACCACCATGCCCGTATCGCTGTTGCCCACCAGCTGCCAACTCCCCACATTCATCTATCTCAAAATTCACAAAGGGACCAAACCCTTGCGATATTCCTTGGATATGTCTGCTAACAGTTAATTTCAATGATAACTTCTTGTCTATAATTTTTTTCAACTCAGGAGGGTTAGCTTTGCTCACAATGTCTACTCTGTGGCTTCCCTTACCCTGTTCTAGTAGATCTGAGTTATCTGGTTAAAAAAAACAAAATTACTTTGTTGCTTGCATTCCCTGAAGCATCTCCCAGACTGAACTCTCCTTGACTGTTCCTTAAATTTCTAAAAAGGATTTCATATTTAGATAATGAATATCTAAGTAGTACATACATATATATATTTATTTATTATGTATTTTATTTGAGATGGAGTTTCACTCTTGTTGCCTAGGCTGGAGCACAGTGGCACGATCCTGGCTCACTGCGACCACCGCCTCTGAGGTTCAAGCGATTCTCCTGCCTCAGCCTCCTGAGTAACTGGGATTACAGGTGCCCACCACCAGGCCTGGCTAATTTTTTATTTTTAACAGAGACGAGGGTTTCACCATGTTGGCAGGCTGGTCTTGAACTCCTGACCTCATGATCCACCCACCGCGGCCTCCCAAAATGCTGGGATTACAGGTGTGAGCCATGATGCAGGGCCTTCGAAGTAATATTTTTATCTCGCAGTTTACTTTAGTAACTTTGAGAGACTTCAAGTTTTCTAACTTAAGCAGGTAAGTTAAAGAAAAGTGTGGCCAGGTGTGGTAGCTCACACCTGTGATCCTAGTACTTTGAGGGGCCGAGGCGGGTGGATCACTTGAGGTCAGGATTTCGACACCAGGCTGGTCAACATGGCAAAACTCCATCTCTAATAAAAATTAAAAAATCAGCCAGGTGTGGTGGTGCAAGCCTGTAATCCCAGCTACTTGGGGGTCTGAGGAAGGAGAATAGCTTAAACCCGGGAGGTGGAGGTTGCAGTGAGCCAAGATTGCGTGACTGCACTCCAGCCTGCATGATGGAAGCAAGACTCCAACTCAAAAAAAAAAGCGGAAAATATTTCTATTGTAATAATTTGAATAAATGACCAACAGAGCCAGTTTGGTCATTTCCTAACTGCCAGCCAGCAATTTTCTTAGGTATGGACCAAGTGAGGCTATCCCTCTGGTAATACCTCGCTTCCCTGACTCCTCTTCTGAAACCTATTCCTCTCCTTGTATGGTAGGTATAGACTGAATATCTCTTATCTGAAATGTATGGGATCAGAAGCGTCTCCAAGATAAAGAGTTATCTTGGAGATGGGACCTGAGCCTAAACACGAAATTCAATTGTTTCATAGACATATTATGTAAAGCCTGAAGGTAACAGGTACATCAATCATGCCGAGAGGCATTAGGAAAGTAGAAAGTATGGCTTGGCTCATGGGTAGGAGGCTTCTGAAGGCGGCTGGTCTTTCACAGGACTAAGGGAAGAAATGGGGAAGCTTGCATTACCTCTGAGAACTGCTGCTAGCCTCCAAGGGCCTAAAACCTTGGAGTTTTAGGTTTTTTTCTAATATAGAAACCTAAAGTAAACAAGCAAAACCCCTCCTCTCTAATAGAATAAACAAAAGGTCTACAGTTTCACGGCATTCTGAGAGGTATTCTTACTCAGCAAGGACTCTGGAGAAGGGAAGTGTGCTAATCCTCTCACGGTCCCTATTTCCAACTGAAGAACTCCTTAAGAAAACTTCTACTGGCAGGCTAACAAACCATGAGGTTTTGATCACTCCAGTTTAAAGAAGCAAGCAAACTGCAGTGTCTGCTGCTCAAACTGTTCTCTTAACCTTAGTGGTGGAGAAACTACAAGAACCCATTTTACAAAACGAAAGAAACTAACCTGTTTTGATATTGGTGTCCACACTGTGAACATTTGAAGTCCCAAGAAAAGGAAGATACGAAGAGCTTTTCAACATGGGGTTCTAGTTTTAAGAGCAGGGGAAATGCAAACACAGGACTTTCCATATCACCTTCAAAAAGAAAAGGAAAAATTACTGCTTATAATTAATAACAGCAAAAATTAAACCAGATTTGTGAACTATTGCCTTTTCTTACTGTATTTACTGCATGAGTATGTGTTAATACTGTATGACTGAGTAAGTCATAGTTGGGAGAGGGAAAGTATATAAAGCATTTTTCTGAAAATGTCCAGCCTAAAGATTTAATTACCACTTCAATCTCTTTCCTTTTCCTTGGCAGACATTTGTGAAAATGTCTTGAGACAGAAAAACCACAAAAGACCCATATCGTTTTCTACCCTTCTAGCTTTTCTCGGGAAAACACACACACACACACACACACACACACACACACACACACACACGAACTATAATAGCCTTAGAGTATATTAAAACAAAAACTGGTGAGGTGTAGTGGCTTACACCTTGTAATCCCAGCACACTGGGAGGCCAAGGCAGGAGGATTGCTTGTGCTACCTCTAACAATTGCTACCAGCCTCTAGGAACCTCAAATCAATTTCCATGATGTTCACGACCAGCCTGACCAGTATAGTGAGGCACTGTCTCTACAAAAAATAAAATGAAATAAATTAGCTGGGAGCAGTGCTACACACCTGTAGTCTAAGCTACTCAGGAGGCTAAGGCAGGAGGCTCATTTGAGCCCAGGAATTTGAGGCTGCAGTGAACTATGATCACGCCGCTGCATACCAGCCTGGGTGACAGAGTGAGACCCCTTCTCTAAAAAAAAAAAAATTATGGAAATGGTTTGCTGCAGATGTTAAAAAAAAAAAAAAACGTAACCAGTGAAACACTGTAGAAACATGTCAGAATTGGCCATTTCTATTCTGATCATCTTGTTTCACCTGTGGAGGGCGTGGCCACACAATGGTTAAATGACCAGCCTCAACTCTTTGGACTCTTCATCTACCACTCTTCTCAACTTTTCAGTCTAATCCTTTCCTTTAACAACTTTCTGACTGAAGAATATCTGAATTTCGTTGCCATTGAAAATAAAAACTGAACACTGAATGCTGGCTTCCAACTTTGAGACTGGGAAGTAAGTTAAGGAGGGAATCTACGTGCTTCTCTTACATTCTTTCTCCAATTGTTACTGCCTAAGCAATAACACCTATCGTCAATGTGGGGTTTCTAAAAATTGCTGATTACCTGAGTACCCCACCCCATGCCCCAACCCCTGAGATTATAATTTAAATGCCCCTAGCATTGACATTTACTTTTAAATTCCCTTGGTGCTTTTTAATGCACAATTGAGGTTAAAAATGCTAGATGTGTCAATGGGGAAAAGTACTAGAGAAGTACTAATGATATGCCCCCGAAATATTCTCCTGGTTCTTTCTGAGAACTGCACCCACTCTCAAGAGACGAAGCACTAGCCTACATATTTATATGGAACAGCTCTGCCCAACAATAACTTACCCAGTGGTTTCCTAAATCAAACTACTCAGATTCTCTCTCCCAAGAATATGATCATCCAAGTAATAAAACGGTATTATATTTCCTTATGATGTGAATATTTCTACATGGTAGATGAGTATAATACAAGTAAGTTATGCCAATTACTTACCTAACGTGCATCTAAGCTGAGGCTGAAGTCTAATAAAAATTTCATCTCTGACTTCATTCAGACAGGTCTCTATCTCTGCAAATATTTCTGAGGTAAGTTTTTTACAATCTCCATCTAAGAAAATACAGAGAACATTATCAATACCTCATCAATGTATATCTTCCCATCGAAAACTGAGACATTCCCAAGAATGAAAGCTGAGTCAGTAAGTTTTGCAAACAAGAGACAAAGCAAAACATAACACTTCCTTAATAATTTCTCTGTACTATACTACATATTCCCTTAATGTATGTTATCAGCACAATATCAAATTTTACTTACTGAATGGGTAAAATCTCAGTGTTTCTTGCCCAAATAATCACAAGCCATAGCAAAACAACTAACGTTTCAGATATATGTCTATCTATAAAATAGCTAAAGAAGTTACCTCTTTATGTGCAATTATCACTTATACTAAAAACAATGTTTAGTCATTTATTGCATTCTGTGTAACTTTTATTGAACTTAGCCAGGTCATAGGAACAGATAATTTTTTTTTTTTTTTTGAGACAGACTCTTCCTCTTGTCCCCCAGGCTGGAGTGCAATGGCGTGATCTTGGCTCACTGCAACCTCCACCTCCTGGCTTCAAGCAATTCTCCTGCCTCAGCCTCCCAAGTTGCTGGGACCACAGTCGCCCACCACCACACTTGGCTAATTTTTGTATTTTTAGTAGAGATGGCGTTTTGCCATGTTGGCCACGCTAGTCTCAAAATCCTGACCTCAAAATCAGGTGATCAGCCCGCCTCGGCCTCCCAAAGTGCTGGGATTATAGATGTGAGCCACCATGCCCGGCCAGAGACAGATAAATTTATAAGGAGTCTTAATAAAGTTCCAATTATTTCCCCAACTAATATCTTGTATATTTCCCTTCTGTGTCATTTTTGAGGGGTTTAAAGGGGTCTTCAGTGGCATCATAGTGTTTATTCAATTCCATATCCTGCTTTGTCCACACAAATTTGCTTCATTGGAAACTCTGACCAGCCTGGGCAACATAGTGAAACCCCATCTCTTAAAAAAAAAAAAAAAAAAAAAAAAAAAAAAAAAAAAGCTGTGTATGGTGGTATACATCTGCAGTCCCAGCTACTCAGGAAGTGGGAGGATCGTTTGAGTCCAGGAGGGTTAGGGTTCTCCAAACTGTTGAGCCGTGATCGTGCTACTGCACCCCAGCCTGGGCAAGTGAGACCCTCTCTCAAACAAACAAAAAACAAAACAAAACAAAAAAAACCTCACTAGTTATTATTATTATATAGTGACTGAAACAGCACTTTTACACATGTGTGTGTGTGTGTATGTGTGTGTATGTGTGTGTGTGTTTGGAGACAGAGTCTTGCTATGTTGCCTGGGCTGGTCATGAACTCCTAGGCTCAAGCAATCTTGCAGCCTCAACCTCCTGAGTAGTGGGGTTACAGGTGCATGCCACTATATTCAGCTGGAACATTGCTTTAGTAATCATTCTCCTATTGCTAGACATTTGTTTCTTCTTTCACTATTATAAATACTATTGTGATAAACACTTTTGGGCACATATCTATGTTTTTGATCACTTCTTTATGGTAAAAATCATCTTCAAAATGGAATTACTGTGACAAGAAACTATCCAAGTTAATAAGAAAATTATTTTGAAGAAAAGATTCCACATGCATCGGACTCTACTTACTCTTAAGCTACAAACAGATCTTTTCACTCACATCCCTTATAAATAATTCATACAGCCTGATCACACTGCTTATATGTCTCCCTAATGAAAATATCTAGATTCTCCTATAATATGAAATAAGCATTAACCAGAATTTTTGTTATTTGACCATGCCAAAAAAAGAAAACTTACATTGCAAAGTAATGCAGCTCAAACAAATATAATTAACAACCAGATTATAAAAACTAAAATCATTCTGCAAAAAATGAGTAACAGATACAAACATAAAGTTAATTCTAATATTGAACTGCTGCTCTTCTGTAACAAACAACTGAACTGTAACCTATTTAACATTGGAGTTCCTGTAATTAGAGAAAGCAGAAATAGAAGAATCAAAGGCAAAAATGCTTGTGAGAAACTGAACTTGAAAAATTTCAAAAAACTGTAACTGACTGACATTAAAAAAAATTCAGTCTCAGGGAAACATTGAAACAAAATATTTCTTACTTAACAAAACCACAACTTCTTTAATGTTCCAAAGAGGTGGTTAGAAAGCTCTGAGGTATTTTTTTCGACATAATGAAAATGGAATTATATATTGGCACAACCATTCTGGAAAACTATATTCAGCAATGACCTTTAATATTCACATTTTAATATCTCTCCTAGGATTCTAGTCGGTGATAAACTCAAAAGACAAATGGATATTTGTCCTGGTGTTAATTGGTTAACAGCAAAAACTAGTAACAGCCTGAATGATTAACAACAGGGAAACAATGTATCAGATGCATATAAAAGACTGTATGACCAAACTCACAATTCTTAGTACATTAATGAATAAGAAAATGCCTACAATGTCAACTGAAGAAAGCTTGGTATTATGTCACATCTGTCCAAAAACTATATATGCCCAAGGAAGATCAGAAAAAAGATGTAACAAAACACTTCAGATGAAGTTGAATGAAGGTGAGGATTCTTGCCCTACAAGGTAGCAAGGTTTAAAAAGCCATAATAATTTAGTAAGTATGGGTGCTGAGTGAGACAAAGTAACCAAGAGAATAGAACTGAGAGTTAAGAAGTGGCTAACACACATGAAGGAAATGTTGATATGCTGGTAGCATGGCAGATCAACTGAGAAAATAAGGTGGAGCTACAAAAACTGGCTATGCAAATGGAAAAAAAGATGGATCCCTTACCTCATACCATACATAAATGTGAATTCCAACTGAGTGAGGAATTTCAATGTCAAAAGCAAAACAGTATAACTTCTCTGTGAAAATACGGGTAAATGATTTTCTGACCTTGGGAATAGCAGTACTTTCTTTAAAAAGCCACATACATTACTAGCTCCAATGGAACGATAAAGACTTCCCTATAAATCAAGATAGCTTTTAAAAAGTAAAAACACAAAGTGCAGCAAATTGGGAGCAGATTCAGCAACACATCTGACATAACTCTAGCAAGAAGGATACAAGGAACAAACTCATACAAATCAATTAAAACGTGACAATCAACAGAACAAATAGGGCTAAGACAAAAAAGCCTATTTCACAGAAGACGGAATAACTATGACCAATACATACACATAGAGCCGACAACCTCTTCAAAATGTGGAAATGGCAAATCAAGATCACAGACCATTTTATACCACTCAAATAGCAAAAATCTCAAAGTGTGAAAATAAGCCAAGGAGAATATATGGATCAGGAAGAGTTCTTACATACACAGTTAATGGGAGAATTAATTGGTAACACCACTTTGGAAAACAACTGTCATTACCTTGTAAATTTGGACCCAGAGTCTGGGAGCCAAAACTCAGCATTAATATTTTTTAAGAATTAAAGTCAAACAGGCTACAATGCTGGCCCGTGTCTGTAATCCCAACACCTTGGGAGGCCGAGATGGGAAGGGTGCTTGAGTCTAGGAAGTTTAGTCCATGATTTTCCATTCCTTTCGTATACAGAAGGGAAACTCTTACACTGGCCCCCAAAAGGTCACAGCAGACGCATTTATAATGGAAAAAACTGTCCACTGACAGGTAGATAAATATACTGTTACTTACAAAATGGAAGTATTATATAGCAATGAAAATCAAGGAGCCACAACTACAAACAGCCTCATAAATTTTTATAAAGAGAAAAAAAGGTCCCAGAAGACCTACTGTACAACCCCCCTTGTTTAAAGTTCAAAACAAACTAAATTAGGCAATACAGTGGTCCCTCCTCATCTGGGGTTTTGCTTCCTGTGGTTTGTTACCTGAAGTTAACCACGGTCTGAAAATATTAAATGGGAGATTCCAGAAACAATTTATCAGCTTTAAATTTCATGCGATTCTGAGTAGCATCATGAACTCTTGTAGTCCTGCTGTGTTCCACTGGTAACGTGACTCTTCCCTTCATCCACTGTATCCATGCTGTCTACACTCCCCGCCCATAGTTCACTTAGTGGCCATCGTGATGATGAGATCTATTGCCATGGTATTGCAATGCTTGTGTTCAAGGAACCCTTATGTGACTTAATAATGGCCCCAAAGCACAAGAGTAGTGATGCTGGCAATTCAGATATGCCAAAGAGAGGTTGTAAAATGCTTCTTTAAGTGAAAAGTTAAAGTTTTCAACTTGAAGAAAAAAATCGTATGCTGAGATTGCTGAGATCTAAGAACAAATCTCTTATCCATGAAACTGTGAAGAAGGAAAAAGAAATTTGTGCTAATTTTGCAGTTGTACCTCAACTGCTAAAGTTATGGCCACAGTACCTGATAAGTGTTAAGATGGAAAAAGCACTATATTTGTGGGTGGAAGACATGATCAGAAACAAATGTTCCAATTGACATGTTGAGCCACATTTAATTTACTTTTTTTTTTTTTTTTTTTTTAGATAGAGTCTCATTCTATCACCCAGGCAGGCTAGAGTGCAGTGGGGTGATCCCAGGTCCAAATAATTATTCAACCTCCACCTCCCAGGTTCAAGCGATTCTTCTGCTTCAGCCTCCCATACTGGGACTATAGGCGTGTTCCACCACACCCAGCTAATTTTTGTATTTTTTAGTAGAGATGGGGTTTCACTATGTTGGCCAGGCTGGTCTTGAACTCCTGACCTCTGGAAATCCACCTGCCTCAGCTTCCTAAAGTGCTGGGATTACAGGTGTCAGTCACTGCACCTGGCCCACATTTAATTTACTCTGAATTAAACTTGACCATAATTATGTATATATGGGGAAAAGCATGGTATATACAGGGTTCAATACTAACCATCCCATTATTTGAGAGGGATAACCTCCAAGACCAGTGGATGCCTAAAACCTTGGATGGTAACTAAACACTACACATATTATGTTTTTTCCTATATCTATATACCTATGATCAAGTTTTATATATAGGCATAGTAAGATTAACAACAATAATAAAATAGAACAATTATAATAATGTGCTATAATGA